AGCTGTTTGCATGAGAAAGCCAGGTAGCTGGAGGCTGAGGTGAACAGAGCTTTTGGTGTTCCAACAGGAAGAGTTTGGGATGAAATTGGACTGTTCTTCTAGGTTTCAGGTGCAAACACCTGTGAGAGTGAAGTGGTTGGTGCTGTAGAGATGGAGAGAGTTGGGAGCCGGGGTCAGGCAGTCTGATCTGTGGGATTACAGGCTCTTATGCTTTGCCTTGTAATGAGTCAACAGCTTGGGCTTGACTCAAATGGCTTTCCCTTTAAGGAATCTAGTCTTGCTTTGGAGACAGCCAGAGTCTACTGCAACTATTGGCAACCTGTGCCCCACACTGATGAGGCTTGCTGCCTAAAAAAATTAAATAAAGCAGTGCACCCCAGAGATTGTAATTTTCATTGGCGATGGTAGCATGTGCTTTCCTAGACAAATCCTGAAGGACATGCACAGGCAGATGTTCCCAACTGACCACGAGAGCTGCAGGAGCTTGCTAAGCTGCCCTACTTGTCTCTGACGTTTCTACTCAATGTGTTTTGCACTTATTGGAAACACATGGTCATGATCCATTCCCTAGTCCCTTCACACCACAGAGTTTCCATCGTTTGCAAACAAGGGCCATCGCCACATCCCCGCAAGTGCTTTGGCCCACTCGGCAGCCTCGTTTGGTGAACATGCTGCGTTAGGCACAATGGTTTTGCCTGTGGGGGGATCGCCTTCGCACCCGTTGCCGCTGCACGGGGCACCAGCAGAGCTATCAAGTGACACCATGAAGTGGTTGTCATGCATGGCCATCAATTATGACTGTTACTATATTAGGTCCATCGTTGGAGCCATCTGCCAGGGCAGGCTTGGTGGGCGGGCAGCCCAGATGCCTGCCTGCGAGATGACATTCCCTGGCTCCGGGCTCTGGGCAGCAGCCGAGCCAGCCCACGGGAGCCGGGCACCATCCTCTTGGAGGTCATTTGCTGGAGCGGCATTTCCTATCAGTTCATTGCTTAAGACTGTGTTACCCTTTTAGGGGTGAAAAGGGGTGTTCGGTAGGCAGCGGTGGATTTGGCACAGGAACGCCTGCCGTAACGCTGCCTGCGTGCCAGTACTCATCCTCCTGGCTTCTGTGCCAGCTGCTGTGGGACTTACTGTACCAACTCAAAACCAATCACCTCCCGCTTCAGCCGTCTTTTGTAGCCGTCTCCAAAGCTAGCGTGGTTCAGCAAGAAGAGCTTTTTAAAGATTCCTGCCCGATAAGCTTGCGCAGGGTTGGTATGCCTAATTCTAGTCCTAATGCACAGCAAAATACCGACGCTTCATTTTGCAGGTGCGGACGGTGCGTGTTGTAGGCAGGTTTTGTCATCCATGCTGCAAGACCATTGAAGCTTTTGCCGTCCTGGGAGCAAAGCGCAGCAGCTTTGTGTTAGAGGGGCTTTTGTTACAAAAGATGCTTCCGGAGGGACCGGCTTGTGTTCGGCTGGAGACCTTTCACCAGCTGCATAAGGAGTCCGGGAAACAGCACGGCACGCTCGCTCGACTTGCATGCAGGAAAAAAAAGAAAAGCGGAGCTAATGATTGACTATTATTTTAAGGGGATTATCTAATCCGCAGCCCAGAGGACAAGAGGGGCCAAAATGAGTGAAGATTGAATACGTAATTAGTGCAGATTGTTGGTAATACCCTCTGGACTCTGACTGATTATAAACAGAAACAGATTTTTCTACTTCCCACCACCCCCCACCCCCAAAAAAAAAAAAGCTTTTGCAGGCCAAAGGGCCACTTTGTAGCAGAAACTGTTGCAAATTAAGTGGGTGGTCACAGCTGGGGCAGTGGAGATGATTAATGCAGAAGATGGCTGGGGAGTGGGGAGGCAGGGGAGTAGCTTCCCTCGGGTTATTTTGCAGCGTAAAGGCAGAGATTTGGGCAGAAGTGACCAAAATGGCGCCTGTGGTGGGTTAGTTTCTGTTACCCCACCAGTGATCCTGCAGCTCCATCCCTGGTGCCGGGGCTCCTTCTCTCCCGGCGGCTGCGGGAGCACGAGGTGCGGGGATGCGGCGGTGACCTGGACTAACCAGGGATCCTAACGAAGGCTGGAAACTGTAATGAAGCCTTCTCAAGAAGTACCTGCTTAGGAACATTTGCTAATTGGATTCCTGGGTTTGAATTATTATTATTAATAATAATAATTTTTAACATTATTATTGCCTGGACCTAGTTATCAGCTGCCTCTGGTCTGCTAGAGGCTAATGCTTTTTATTTTCCTTTCCTCCTATGTACCAAAGGTCAGTAGAAGTTAAGTGAAAGGGATTTGCAAGAGTTACAGATCCATTATTAATACAAAATAAAAGATGTATGGCTAAATCCATCAAGCCTAAAAATACAATTGGGCACAAATAAGCCCAGAGAAGGAAACAATGGAAGGAACAGTGAAAACAAACAGCACACCCGTGCACTAAACTTCTGAAGCAGTTTAACAAGGCTAGGAAAACAGCTCTCAAATCTGTGATGACAAGAGGGTTTCTGTTCCCTTCTCTTTAATTTGGTCAAAGAGGATGAATGGGCGAATTGCCATTCCCATTTGGGTGAAATGCCGTGATGTAAAAAATTACCCTTACTCAAGTTCAGGTGAAATCCCAGAATTTGAAAATTTCCCGTGTAAAAGAATATGTCTGAAATGATCATTTTGGTATGCTTTGGCTAAGCGTTTCCAACACGATTCAGCTGCTGCATTGTGAACCGCGCAGGATCTCGCATCTCACAAATTACAACATCGCAGAAAGAGACTTTAAACGGGAACGTCAAAACCCTTTGTGCTTTAAGGACCTTGCTGAAACACTCTGGTTTCAAATTTCTTTTCTAAACTGAAGGCAAGAGTAGTTACTCAGTTCCCGTGGATTTTTTTAGTTTTGCTAGGATGTCCAATAAGAGAATATTCTGCCCCAAAAGCTCTGCTGATCGGCTGCAGATCGCTGGTCTGGAAGCACGCAGGTGCCTGATGGTACTGTGACCCCATGGGGCACCTTTTAGGTTTTAGGAGTCTTTGAGGTGTGTGGAAACACCTTCCAAAACACACCAGGGCAGGCCATCGTTGCCCTGACGGGACGTTGTACCAGCTGAGGAGTCTTGTGTAAAATGACCGATTGCAAAATAATCTGCGGTGATTTTATCAACTCAAATCCCTTCACTCATTCTGCAGAAATGAGCTTGGGAAAATAAGATGGTGCAGCCAGGCTGCTCCCAAACTGCCCCGAAGCCTGAGCATCATCCCTCGTGCCAGAGAGGCTTTTTCTTTCTGTGCTTGGAAAGCAGCAGGGGACGGGCAGGGGCAGCCTCCCGGCGCATCCCTTTCGTGGTGGCACCTTTTCCTGCTCTGCCTGCAGGTGTGCAGCTCTGGAGGACAGCAGCGTATCTGTACTCGTAAGAAGAAAAGCAGGGAAGTTGTGGAGAAGAGGAATCCCAGTATCTGTGGGAATCTCCTGGAGAAGTTAGTTTACCAGGCGGGTTTTGCTTGCACCTGGCCCTTTGTGCGTGTGGATATCTGCTCCTGTTCAGCCATTTCTGACCCTCTTTGATGGCCTGGGCTGACTCACTTGTCGTGCTAACATCATTACGCTTTTGTTTTGCCGTGTTTGGGTATTTTTTATTGAGAAATACTGCCTGTTTGCCTTGGCAGTGGTGCTCGTTGGATTGATGCGGTGTTTTTTAGCTGGAGTGTTTATTCAGCCTCTTGGATTCTTTCTCAGGGGTGGGGTGGGATGATCCAGATCCGTCAGTATGCTGGTGATCCATGAGGGATTGTGAAAGGCTTGAGCCAGGGTCCCTTCTGATGAAAACCACCAGCTTCCTCCACTTCCAAAGGCCAGGCTCTGGGGATGAGACGAACAGGCTTAACTGATTCCCATCCGGGCGAGAAACCTGGACCCCAGAAGGAGATGGCAGCAGCATGAGAAGGGGAGCGAGGGACCCATCGCCTTGAGTCAAGCATGGGTGCACCCTCTCAGTCCAGATGCTCAGCAGGTACAAACACCCCAGGTGGATCTGGCTAATGGCATCTCAAAACACATTTTCCTTTTTGTTCTCGGCCCTGAGAATTGCTGGTTTCTTGCCTTTCTGCATTGTCTATTTGGACTTTTTTATTCCTCCCTGTCCTAGGGAGACAAGGGCAACTGTGACCTACTGCTCAGCAGGTCCTTTTCATCCAGTGACGGGTTGCCACAAGGTTTTCCCCCATTAATGTCATGCTGCTCTGCCAGGACTATCAAAACTTTTATACTGGACATTTTCTTGGGTTGGAGCTCCCATGTGCTTCATCTCAAAGTCCCCATGTTGCAATACCAGCATGCCTGGGGTGCGTGATCCATTTAGATTCCTCGCTCTCCAGCGCTTTGATGAGGTGGACAGGGGTTGGGATGGATGTGTTGAAAGTGCTGTAAGGAGCATATTTTGCACACACTTATGTAAGACTGCAGTAATGCAGAAATGCAGAGCTCCTCAGGTCCTTGGACCAGAAGGTATTTGGTGAGCAAGGCCTTGCGCTGCCTCTGGGTTTGGGCAGACTATTTGTGCTCGCCTGGATTTCCTCACTCCTGCACGCATCTTTGCGGTGTCCGGGGAGCAGGCACGATTTGCATTGCTAAACACCCGCTCTGAAGTTCAGGTGATTTTCTTTGGGAGTAGGTCTCCAGTAAGCCAGATCCCCTTATCTGTTTTGTTTTCTTACTGGGGCACCTTATAGTTGTGATTTTTTGGTCTTTCCAAGTATAAGGTTTGGTGTAGGGTACTGGGAGGTGCACTGGGACCGGGGCTGGGTGCAGGACTGACAAGATGTTTGCTAAGCTCTTCTGGCCCATCCACCCCTGCCACGATGCCTTCAACCGCACTCAGACCCAGCTGTCCCTGGCTGCCGGCACGGGCTGCCCCGGGGACCCCGGTGCTGGTGGGGGCTGGATGTGCCGTGAGTTGGGATGCCGGCACGCACCACCTGTTATTAACCACCTCTCTCCTTCTGCTTTCAGAGCTGGCGTATGACCTGGATATGGACGACACCTCTGCAAACAAGCAGCTTCTGAATCAGCAAAGCAAAGACGGTGCCGCGGCCCCCAGCAGTGACTCTGGGAGCGTGGCCCCCCACCCCGGCACTGCCGCTGCCGTCGCCCTGGTCCTGCTGCTGCTGGGCCACCAGCCATGAGCGATGCCGGCATCATTGCTCAGTGTCTCTCCATGCCTTTTTTTAACAAGGAAGACATTCGGAACCTCTTCTGAAATATATGCACATTTCTAAAGACAGGGCAAATGACTTGAGTCAGTTTTATAAAATAATACGGTACCTTCACATACACACGAAAAAAGAAACCAAAAAGCGTTTGTTCATGGTAAACTAGTAAATACGTAACAGTACTTTTTAAAGGTAATCCTGTTTAATATAAGAAGGTTGATATTAAATCATGTTCCTTGCAGTTTTTGAAGACTGAGGTCTCCATTGCTGTTAAGTTGAAGACCATATTTCATCCTGAGTTGTTTGAACGTGCATGGGATACAGAACACCTACGATTTATGAAATACTTTCAGCAAATATCAGATCCCTGATCCTAGTTGACTTAATACAGATTTTGTCTGTAGTTCAAGCAGTTTTTGTACTTACTCCAAATTCAAAGCTCACCCCTAGGAATCTGTCCAGGCACATAACGCAGAGGGCGTGTGAAGACAGGGGAGAGAGAAGGTCACACATACGGCAGGAGGAAAGATGCTGTGGAAGAGGAGTTGTTGTGTGCTGGGATTGTCATGGAGACGTGCTCCCATGGGCACAAAGCACACTTCATCGTGGCAAGTTGCAGGTGATTTTGCTGCTTGCCTCCCAGCCAGGTCCTGCAAAGCCCTTTGGTGCAGGCAGCCGGTCCCCTCCGGGATCCCCGTGGCCCGTGCAATGCCCCGGTTTTATTCTTCAGAAGCAAACCATCTCCTTTCCCACAGGAAATCTGCAAACACAGCTCCAGCCAAAGGACATGCGGCGTGGATGTACACGTCATGCTTTACGGGGATGAATAACGGGCGTCCAACGCATTGTGCTATGAGGGAGGAAAAGAAAAGGATTTGCAGGAGCCTGAGGCAGATGAGACTCTTACTCACGTGTTTCTTTGCATGTTACTTTACTTAAGCTATCTCTAAAATAAAGGTCAGTTGCTCTATAAATGGTGCACTGGAAGTAGCCTCCCATGTGTGCGAGGTGATGCTCTGCCTTGTTCCTGGAGTGGGCAGCCTGGAAAGGCCATCGGTGCCCGGCTTGGGCGCAGCACGGGAAGGCTTGGCTTAGTCTGATTAAACGGACGGGCTGGGGCCAGGGAGTGTTTGGTTTTGTTTGGTTCCTGGCCAGAATGGTTACATATTTCTGGTTTAAGATGCTGCCTTTACTAGAGTGATTATATCCACCATATCTTAAGATGCAGTGCATGCATGTACGCATGCACACACACACTCACATGCATGTGCATGCTTTAAATATTTGTGTGCTTCAGACCTTTTTGAAAGCAGCTTTATGTTTGGGAGGAAGTAGATAAATCCAAACCACGCAATCAAATGGTTTGGAGAGTGTAAACTTTGCCTGTTCTTACTTTGAAGTGGTGGGGCTGACCTGGCTGACCTTGATTTGAAGCTTTGCAACTGCATGAAGTGCTTCACAAGCTGTGGCAGAAGGGGAGCTGGCTGCTCACCCCGCTCCTCTGCATGGGGACATTAACTCCCAATTCACCGCTCATGGTGGAGAGGAGCGGATCTGGGCTAAGCTCCGGCATGACCTGCTGGTTAATGGTTGGAGAGCTTTCCTCTGGGTTTCAGACCCCTCGTGTCCCATCGGCGTCGGGGTGAGCACCAGGGATGTTTGGGCAGCGCTGGTGCCATGCGGTATTCCTGTAAGTGCTGATTTTTTTACATCCGTGAAGGTGTGATGCGTATTTGTATACGCATGTTTGTATTTTCCATGATCACAAACCAAATTGCAATCTGCTCTGTCTGTTGGGATTGCCACTTTCTGGGGAGCCCTCGGGTCAAAGGGGTGCTGGTGCATGGGGGTGACACAGGGCAGAGCCATCGGCGTTGCCGGCAGAGGCCTTTCTTTACCCTCCTGCCGCTTTGCTCTCGCGGTGGCCCAGCTCTCCCCGTCATCCCTGCTCTCCGCGGCGCAGCTGGCTGTGCCCATGAGCCTCTGCTCCACCAAAGGGAATATTTTATTAGAGTCCCTTGAATTCCCATCGCTTCTTCCCTTCTGATCATTTCCTTTCATCCCCCTGGAGCGCTGGGGGTGGGAGCAGGCTGCCAGGTTTGTTCAGAGAAGATGTGCTGCCTCTGCCTCACCAGGTATCCCTGGTACCAGCACGGGGACGTTCTTGTCTCTAATACCGTGTTGGAAATAATTCTGTGTGCTGCTTCTTCCTTAGATAAGCAGCAGGAGGGGATGGTGGCACTGGCCTTTCTTCCGTGCGAGTCCAGCGTGCTTTCTTTCTGTCTTAGGGAGACGGCACGGGCTGTCCCTTGCTGTGTGTCTTGCAAAGCCTGCCGGGTTTCCACTCCGCATCACCGCAGTGCGATGCTGATGCTTGTCAGTGGAAGCCCCCTCTGTAGCACGCTAAGCCCGGTTTCCCATTGCACGCACGTGCTGTTTAGCAAAGCTTTGCATGTTGGAGCCTTTGTTATGATAAGAGATCACAAAAACCAGCCTTTGAGCCCACTACCTGCTAAGTTTATAAAATAATGCATTATAACTTGAAAAGAAGGCTGTTGAATTTTACCCTGCAGTGAGTTTGTGTGCATGTTTTAACAGGAATTTTGCAAGGGGTACCCTGGCCACCAAGGTGAAGTAAAGCTGGCATTCAGTTTTGGGCAGTGTTTCGTTCCCATGTCATGAGAAATAAGGAATAATTGTTCCCTGTTTGTTTCTCCACGCCTCCTCTGCTCACTGTGACCTGTGTTGCCGTGGGATGGGACATTTCCATCAGGAGATGGGCGCTGTCACCTCCCCTGTGCATGTGTACCTGGAGCTCCACGCCTTGTCCCAGGGCTCACACGTTTAACTGCTAGCACACACTCAAGATTATTTCAATTTTTCTTTATTGTATATATGTATTAGTATATATATTAGTAATGAGTATCTGTATAATATATACAATAATGCATTTGTATGAGTTGAGGAGGTGTGGGGCCTGAGCTGATGGTAGCCCCTGTGCATGTGTACCTGGAGCTCCACGCCTTGTCCCAGGGCTCACACGTTTAACTGCTAGCACACACTCAAGATTATTTCAATTTTTCTTTATTGTATATATGTATTAGTATATATATTAGTAATGAGTATCTGTATCATATATACAATAATGCATTTGTATGAGTTGAGGAGGTGTGGGGCCTGAGCTGATGGTAGGTGCCGGGGGAGCGTCTCGGCTGCGCTCACAGCACCATGATAACGTGGCGATGTGGCTCCGGCACCGGCGGTGGCCGTGTCCGGCCAGCGAGGCGTGTGGCCAGAGTAAATATCTGTCTGGTTTTCTGCCAGTGGGAAAAGCAGCTGAACAGAGGGGTTTATGTCACAGAGGTGCTTCTGGAAAAAAAAAAAAAAGTCAGAAAAAACCCCTTTTCTAGATAATTTCCAGCCCTGTGGTGAAACCCAGAGCTGGTCCCAAGCTGTTGCAAACCGAGCCGAGGTGGGTTTGCTGACTCTGGTCCCCAAGTCTCCCCACACAGAGCTCATCGGTGCAGCAACCCCGCCTGCCAGCACCGCGTCCCAGCGGTGCCTCGTGCGCCTGGCGCCTTGTGCTGGTGCCCGCTGAAGGCCCAGCGACCTTGGGGAAGGTTTCCAGTCTCAGGTGGTTGAGCCCTTACCCCCTGCCAGTTAACCTTAATGCTTCCTGGCCAGTTTTGCAGCTCTCATTAAACTCGCGTGGCAGCAGCGGGGTGGCCAGGAGCCTGCTGCCACCATGCACGTCCCGTGCGCGGGCAGGAATGGGCAGCACCACGCTGCATGCAAAGCCATTGCATCTCTGGGTGGGTTTGCAAGCAGCCTTGAAAAGGTGGCAAAGCCGGTACCTTTCCCTGTGTCTGAGGGTGGTGATGAGATGCAAACATGTGCTTAGCATGTGTAATGTATTTCTGTACTAACCATGCATCAAATTATAATTTAAAACCAAAATATTTTTTTTGGATGGGAAGTCCCAGTTCATTAATCAATTGACTAATAGTTTAGTGCTGGAATGGTATAATCTAATGCACTTAACAGCTGCTAGAAACAGCTGGTGCTTACGTCTCGTGCTGTTTTGGGAAGTGAAACCTAGAGTGGCTCAGGTTTTTTTTCAGAGAGTTTTTCAGAATTGCTCGTTCATCTCCCATAAGCAAAGCCCTCAAGCGCTCTGGAGTGGGGACGCAGCGGGGCTGTGGGACTGGATTCACTGGGGCTTCCAACCGAAACAAAATCCCCCTTGCACGAGGGAAGCAGAGAGCACCAGCCGCGTCCGCAAACGTGGCAGCTGGACACGGGGGTGTTCCTGCGGGTTTGTGTAAGGGGGATACGTGTAATCCCATGCTGTCAGGTGTTTTCATTTGCTTTTAAGTCAAAACCGGTGCGTGCTGAGCTATGGGTACGGCAAAGGAGATGTCACCAGCTGAGAGGGCAATTCTCAGCCGCTCCCCAGCTTCGTAGGGTGCTCGGTTGCGGCACAGACCAGGGTCCTGGCGAGGTGACGTGCTGGGGACTGCTGTGCCGGGAAGGGAGGAGATGACCGCCTCGCACTGCCTCCTGCCCCGCTGTCTCGGCAGCTGCTGGCCGATAGTGAGAGCTTTGCAGCCGCGTGGGGCCGGGGGCAATCTCAGAGCAGAGGAGGCACAAGGAGCAGGGGGCAAGCAGGCTGCTGGCAGGGACCAGACGTGGGATGTTGCGTAAGTCTCTGAAGTAAAATACAGGAAACCACACAAAGACCTCAGAACGCCTGAAACAGAACCACATGCGCTGCCGAGACGCCTCCTTCCAGCCTCGGAGCGTGTAGCTCTGTGGTGGGACTGGCCGTGGCCAAGTCCACTGGAGGATCCTGCCCCGCAGGCTATCTGGCTCACCTAAGCTAAAGCATCTCAGAAAGATCATTTGGTTCCCAAACACTTGGGTGCCTTGGTGGGAATTTCCCTGACCTTTCCAGCAGCACTGCACCTTAATGA